TTTTGTGTTCAGCCAGAGAAAGCCAAAGAGGAAAAGCAGCAGACAATAGCTTTGTTCGAAGCGGTTATGCATAAATCGCGTTGTATCGACAAAGACCAAAAAAATGCATCTGGAAACTTTTGAGCCGGCAGCGATGCGACCGAGTGATACCGACGGCCTCGTGGCGTGTGCCTATTGGTGGTTACAAAGACTGTTACAAAATCACCTACGGCTATTCCGAAGCCGGAGGAGTGGCTTTACCCGGGCCGCGGTCGCGCCGAAAGCAACGCGTCAAAGCATGGCCTTGTACGATGGAAGCCATGATCAAGCACCTGGTAGGCTGCTCGGCTTGGGACCATCCGATAAACAAAAGGCCTACCGTGCGGCAACGGTGCGAGACCGCCCGTTCGACCGCAATCCGACAAATGTCCATAAACCGTCCCGTGCAGGGCACCGGACAAAGGCGCGCAAACTGTTTGGGCCCGATGAAAAGATGGAGGGTTATCCGTGGTATCCGCCCCTCACGTTTAGCCCAAACAAATAATCCAAAAATGCTAAATGATCAATACATATATTTGATACACTTACAAGAACAAAAGCCCGATAATTCTAAATTAGACCCAGGATTTATGTTAATATATTTTTTTAAATAATTGCAAATGTCTTCTTTAAAACTAAATTGGGATTAGGTAACAACACATTTTTTTATAAAATTGAAATCGCATTTTTTAATAAACCCTATGTGATACTGAGTGGTTCGCGATAAAATTATCATCCTGTATATCATATTATATAAACATGAATAACAGTAAGTACAAACAAACTAGTTACTACGATACCTAGATTTTGCAATGCGGCGAAGAGAATAAACATTTGGCGTTCTTGTACAATTTTTAAACGTTTACATACTAACAAATATTATATTTTAGAATAATATTCGTCTTACAACACTAAACGCTTTATGTTATATACATGATAATATCATTATAATATATAAAGTAATGTAGGTACGAATGCCGAGTAGTTTCAAAGTAGTTTTCATTTTGAAACTAATATTCAAATATTCTGAACTCAAATTAATTGTTTTATGAAGCAAAATGTATTCGAAAAATATCATAATATTGTTTTCTTACGTGGCGTTGTACTTTTCGCAATGCCATGGTGGTAATCCTACTCCAGAAGAACTTGTAAGTATAACAAGGAATTAGACAATTTACCCAATGTTTTTAGCGAAGAGTTTTTTTTTAAATGTTTTTTATTGAATTATAAACAATTTTAATAACAATAAGATTTAACACTTTAATTCCCAATAAAATTGTGTTAAATTATTAGGATGAGAGGAGAAGTGCACTACACCTTTCTTTCTGTTCTAAACTTCAAAAAGAGTTTTGCAAAACGGAATTTCGATCGGTCAAAATCTTAAATACAATATTCTCAATTTAAAAATTTAATGAAATGCACGCAATGTCATTTCATTAAATAGCTTAAATACCTAAAAAAAAACTAAATTGGCAGCGGGTAACAACAAAAAAATTGTATAAAAACATAATTAAAAAAAATTAAATTTCTTAATAAACTCTATGAGATACTAAGTGCTTCGCGATAAAATTATCATCCTGTATATCATATTATATAAGCATGAATAACAGTAAGTACATACGAACTAGTGACGACGATATTGATTTTGCAATGCGTTAAATAGAATAACAATTTGGCGTTCTTGTAAAATTGTAAAACGTTTGCATGCTTACAAATATAATATTTTAAAATAATTTGTGTCTTACAACGCCAAACGCTTAATATGGGATAGTAGTTGTTATAATGTGGCCTTCACATTATAAATGTAAACAATAAAATGCAGATCTTAATTACTTAATAAAGAACGCATAGTAATTACAAGTGTACGAAGCCTTGTCGACTAGTATATATATATATATATATTGATAACAATATCTTATCATTAGTAATAGTCAGCGTGACCACTGTTACATAATATATTACAATTCTTCTCACGAGTTTATAATTTATACACTTAAATAATAAATTAATAATATCATTACATCAATTTACAAAACAATGATTTTTTTATATACATATAATATATCATATAATTAACCGTGCCTTGAATTCTCTTTTCGGTCTAATATTTTATTTAAAATTTATCTTCTCCTTATACTTTACCCTTCTTTCATTTTCCTTCTTCTCTATACTTTTATCTTTTTTCAGAAGAACTTGTAAGTATAACGAGGAATTAGACAATTTATCGAATGTTTTTAGCAAATAGTTTTTTTCTAGTGGTTTTAATTGAATTATAAACAATTTGTAATAACAATTATTAACGTTTTAATTCCCAATAAAATTATATTTGACATTTTTATTTCACTGAATAAGGCTGAGTTTTATGTGTAAATTATAATATCAATTTTAAAGCTTTTTCCGAAAACTATAGGAAATGATAAGGTACGCATTCGGACAACATAGAAATCATCTATATCGACAAGTAGACGTTGGAGTTCTAAAAGAAATCATCGACTACGTAGCAGAGAAATCGGCCACGACCAGAAAACCTCCAAGTCTTGAATACTTGATATCGCAATTTCATGGTAATAAACAATAGAAATTTATTCAATAAATAAATATGTGAAATAAAATATTCAACCACTATTACAATGCCAATTTGGTAATCAAGTTCGTATTTGTATAGCTTTAAGCTATTATTATTTTGTTTTTAAGCTAAAAACCATAACTTTGGAACAGTAAAAAAATTGAAAATACATGAGATTTTTTTTAATAAAAAAAAAATTAGCAAAATCCAATAATTTTACTCGAAGCATATAATTTAATATTACATATTCGTTTTTTTATAACAATGATAATTGAAGTAGAAATGTTTTACAAATGTATTGTGATTTGCTTTCGGTTATAATAATTTCTGTAGAACTGTGACCTCCTCGTCCCTACTATGCATGCCGCCACCCTATTGTAATGACATTTGAAAAAAAAACATAAACATGTTTGCATGTATAACACATTGTTATTTTCACTTATTTTGTGGTCAAATTTTGGTTGTTTTAGTTATTTAAAAAATGTATGATATTTTTTACTTTCAGACGAAAAATTTACATTAGGTGCAGTTGTCTATAACGTCAAACAATATTTAGCTACTCAAAATCCGACAATAACGGTAAACCATAATAATATATTACAGATAAAAGGCTCGTTAGATTTTTTGTGTAGGGATATTCGCAGTATTTCAACAAATTTTTTTAAGTAAAATAGGTTTAATATAGTCTTTTAGTATTATAAGTACTTAGTGTTTATGATTAATACAAATTACAAAATTGTTTTCTGTTATACATTTACAAAATGTAAATTATTTTTTTATAAAATAAAATATATGACAATCACTTAGTGTTTATGATTATTAAACATTTCTGAGATTCTTGATTTTTAGAATGTTAGTTAGGGGATCTCCTTAATGATTTCCCGAGTATTCACGCTTGTTACCTCGTCTTTCATAATTATTTACTAAGTATCTCACCTGCACTGATAAGCAAACATTAATAACCAATTTTGAAAATTGTTTAATAAAATTAAAATTGTTTTAAGCAATAGCAGTGTCGATTAGTACATGTTTTTTGACAAAAAGCTGTCATATTTTTTATTCAGTTTATATTGTTTGTTTGTGCCATTTATTTCAATGAAAGATATTAGAAAAGAATTTAATTCTTATACAAGTCAGTTGTATTGCAAATAAAAAATTACTGTAGTAAATAATTATAAATCATGTTTTATTTTTGTGTTATGCACATAATAATATCGTTATAATATATAAAGCAATGTAGGTACAAATGTCAAGTAGTTTTTATTTCAAAACTAATATTTAAATATTCTGAAATCAAGTTTATTGTTTGAAAAAGCAAAACTTATTCGAGAAATATCATATTATTATTTTTCTGCGTGGCGTTGTATTTTTTGCATTGTCACAGTGGTAATCCTACTCCAGAAGAACTTGTAAGTATAATAAGGTATTATAAGGATTATAAGGAATTTTTAGTTTTATGTGTAAAATATCATATAAATATTCTCTTTTATTTCTTGTTCTGTAACCTTAGGATCTGGCAAGAACCGCATTCGAACACCATACAAATCATCAAGATATCGTAGACGTTAGAGGTTTAAAACAAATAATCGACGACATAGCAAGGCAATCAGGCACATCGAGAAAACCCCCCAGTCTTCAACAATTGATAATTCAATATAAAGGTAATAAACAATAGAAAAATATTCAATAAATATGTTAAACAAAATGTTCAACAACAACTGCAAAGGATCTATAGTAATCAAGTTCGTAATTTGTATAGCTGTGAATAATTATTGCTGTGTTTTAACTAAAAAATCATAACTCTGGAACAGTAAAGTCTGCAACCACGATAGAACATTTTCATGTCTCGTTGAAGTACCGAATAAATTTAGATTAGATGTGGAATCATAATTAAAAAAAAGAAATTACATGGAGCTTCCAGTAACAGCATAAGGCCAAGGAGATTAAAAAATTGTGTACAATCAAGTTTAATAAATGTATGTTAATTTGTACTTTTAGGTGATAGTATATTTACAATCGACGAAGTTGAACTCATCGTCCAAAAATATTTACTTTCCCAAGATCCAAAAATAATGGTAAATAAAAAACTATAATACTATATTTCAGATAAAAGTCATGTTAAAATAGTTTAAATATACCCCCCAACCGAAAAACGATGTGTTTTTCCTGAGAAAGAAACCTTTTCTGAACGATATTTGCCAGTTTTTTCTCTAGACAGGAAAAAATTAAATAATAATTTTGTATTCTAATATAAAAATAAAAATCCTTTCACTACTATAAAATTAATGTTTTTATGCTAAAAAAATCTACAAGTATATTATGTCTAATAGTTAGGCATTATGGTTTCGTTAAAATCAGTCTTTATGTAAAATGTAATATACATTTAAATATCTAATTCTTATTATGCAAACAATAGGAAATGATTAGCAACATTATAAAGAAATATAAAAGGACAACTAGCTTAGACTGTAAAAGTGTAAAAGAGATAGTTAAAGAAGTAGCAGAGAAAACGGGAGTGTTCAGATGCATACCAACCTATCTTGATGAACTACAAACGGAGGCACCAAGTAATAAACAATAGAAAAATATCCAATAAATGTGCTGAATAAAATTGTATAATTAATAGATGTTTTAATTATCTAGTTTATCGAACCTTTTTTATTTTTATAAGATTAGAAATCATAACTTGTGAATCAAATTAAAAAAATTAAGCATAAGGGAGCTTATTTTGATGATAAACAAAAAAAAATTTGCAAAATGTGAGATTTTTTCCTAATTTATAAATTTTACTAAAATGTATAATATTTTGTACTTTCAGAGTGCAAGTTTACTGTGGAGGAAGTTGAAACCATCGTCAATGATTATTTATTTTGATTTAAGTGTTTGTCTATTATAGTATCTATTAATAAATAACTGCATGTATGTACTATGTCATGTACAATACAGTCTTGATTAATCAATATACCAATTTTCTCTTGTATTTAAAAAAAAAAAAATAACCAATAAACGTATTCACAATTTAAAGTTTACCCGTATAGCAGATACATTGAACGATACTTGTTACTCTGTTCAATATAAAAAATTTATTTTATAATTTATTTTAAGGAGATTGCATGCGGTCTGTTTTTAAGGAGTTTTGTATAGGCGTTACTTAACAAAAAAGAGGTTTTCGACCATATTAATTAACTTACCTGATAATTTGTATTAGCTTCAAGGTATTATTTAAAATTTATATAAGTTTTTTATGAGTAAAAGCAGGGTAACGAAATATAACGTTATAAACTCAATTATCTCGTTTACCAAAATAAAGATCACAAAACATAATAAAATATTACTATATATTTTGTGAACGTTATAATAAATAACGTTTTAAATGTATTTGCTTTGAGAACGTTATAACGAGTAGCGTTATAATTTATTTTACCCCGAGAATGTCAAAACGATTTTTGGTATACATTTATATACCTTGATAACGTTCACAGTAACGTTTACCAGATCATATGTGTATACATTATTTCCATACAAATATGGAAATACAGAGTATACAAATATGATCTCAGTTATTTTTAATAATCATAAACACTAAGTGATTGTCATATGGTTAATTTTATAAAAAAATAATTTACATTTTGTAAATGTATATAACAGAAAACAATTTTTTAGTTTGTATTAATAATAAACACTAAGTACTTATAATACTTAAAATGTCCTACCTAATGTAAATTTATCGTCTGAAAGTAAAAAATATCGTACATTTTTTTAAATATCTAAAACAACCAAAATTTGACCGCAAAATAATTGAAAATAACAATGTGTTACACATGCAAAATTTTGTTATTTCAAATATTAAATCATACATTTTTTTTGTACGCCATCAAAAAAGGTCCTATGTTTTGTTTCAAATGTTACTACAATAGGGTCGAGGCATGCATAGTGGGGACAAGGAGGTCACAGGTCTACAGAAATTATTATAACCGAAAGCGATAAAATCTCTTAAAAAAATCATGTGGTACATTTGCAAAACATTTCTACTTAAAATATCATTGTGTTAAAAAACGAATATGTAATATTAAATTATATGCTTCGAGTAAAATTATTGGATTTTGCTAAATTTTTTTTTATTAAAAAAAAATCTCATGTATTTTCAATTTTTTTACTGTTCCAGAGTTATGATTTTTAGCTTAAAAACAAAATAATAATAGCTACAGCTATACAAATGACGAACTTGATTACCAAATTGGCATTGCAATAGTGGTTGAATATTTTATTTCACATATTTATTTATTGAATAATTTTCTATTGTTTATTACCATGAAATTGCGATATCAAGTATTCAAGACTTGGAGGTTTTGTGGTCGTACCCAATTTCTCTGCTACGTAGTCGATGATTTCTTTTAGAAAGCTGTCAAAGAAAGTTGTTTCGAATGTGTCATTTAAATTTATGTTAGTTTAGATTAAAATATTGCATATTTAGATTATAGGTCATGCGTATGGGTAGAATAATTTGTGTGTGAATAATAATTAAGTTATTGAACACTTAACGATTACACAAAAAAAAATCCGTGATAAATAACGTTAACGAATAACGATGTAGTGATCTCAATTATTAGACCGAATTACACCCAACCTAACTATTATTACTCCGATGAACTATATTATATTATGTTTAGTTCCCTGGCGAGAAAATTCTAGAAACGCGGTAACTATAATACCACATGCATTGTTATACCAAATATAGTAATATGCGTCAGACAACTTAACACAATACAACAGTATCCGTTTACATATCATTATAACCTGTTTTTTACAAATGGTATTAAAAAAAAAAACGTGTTTATTTACAAAACGTACAGTTGAACACATGGGTTTAATTTCGAACTGATTTTTAAGACCATGTGCAGTAAGGCCATTTTCATGAGATTTGTATTAGTTACGATTCAGCTATCAGACTCAACAGTGTAGTTACTCATTAACCCTTCACTGCATGTAAGTGCATTTATGCATTAGGTTATTTGTGTTGATATAACTTATTGATTATGGTTGAATGTAATTTGTTACATCGTTATCTGTCGGAAAAATAACTGAATTATCGATTTTTAAAACGATTTTGATCAATAGAGTGCAGTAAACACATAAAAATGGCATATATATTATATAGTTGTGGCTACTACAAAAATAGCTATGGAATACTCTGTTTTATTATACTAAAATTGTATCTATGGTGTTGAAAAAAATAAAACGTGTATTGTTATCGTCTGCTTTACCAGAATGAACTGTTGATAATCTTCAACCATGTTTATTTGATTATAAAAACAGATATTTTGTTACCGCGGTCACATATGACCTTCCATGCATTTGTCATTATGGTTTATAGGTACAAGTCAGCGGTGTTTATTTTTCGTTTTTGATGGTTTTTATTCTTTATTTGTTTGAAATTTTTGGTAATCATTTTTGATGACCTTGTTAATGATATTTTCAATTTATAATAATGATACAGTAATAGTAATATAATGATACAGCCCTGATATACACTTAAAGTCTGAGGTTCGCTTGTGTTTGCGGTTTGTAGCATTACGCAATAGTAATTTGTAAAAACAATCAATTTGTTTGCTATATGCAATTTAAAATATTTTTCCAATATTTTGGGAATTTTCGACGTGAACGAATTGTATTTATTACTGTTTTCGCCATTGTAATGTTTTAAAGTTTGCTTCACGTTGCGGATTAGTAAGACACTTCTCTGTATAAGTCCTATATTGGAATCCGACTGGCCTTCATGTAATTTTTTCAACGATTCCTCTAGAAAACTCATCGCATCGGTTATACAGTCAAACATCATATAACTGTTTTCTATTTGACCCAAACCTAAATCAAGCGTATACCAAAATTTGTCATGTCCATTTTTCAAAGGAGATGCATTAGATCTGGGTTTTTTGGCCTTGTTGTATGGTAAAACTTTCGGACACGGAACCTATTACTCACACGTTCTGCCTCACGTGAGCTTTCGTGTACAACAAATAAAATGAAGGATAAATAATCTAAGATAGTCTTCGCGTACACACATTCAATCAATCGAGCGGTCATCCAGTATTTTTCGCAGACATTTTCGTCGGTTACGTAGAAACTATCGGGTTCTTCGATGGGTATAAACAGATCAATGCCGGAAAACGAATTTGCAGAGCATTGGTGTTTGCCTTCGATATGGTCGATTTGCTTCCATCCAGGATAGCTTAGTATGCCTTTGAGTCTAAAAATTAGATTTTCATTGTCGTTACACGATATCAACACTTGCTGATTAATGATTATTAACAACGTCATAAAGCCATTTGACACATTGTAAAACATTTTATTTGAATACTACTTTATTATTCGTTGTTTTTAAATGAAAAAACTACTATGTTTTGTTATAACCGTACTCTAACTGAAACTACATAAGGTTGCTGCCCATTCCCTATTTGTACATCATGCAACGTATATCGCAAATAAATGCACGTATACCTTAGTAAACTGAAAATAACTGTGTATTTCATTGCCATTATTTATTTGAAGAGATATTTTTTTTTGCTTTGGTTCGAATACCTAAGTAGGTTTTAGGTTTTACAATATGTTAAAAGTTCTTCCATATTTCAAGGTTCTTATTTAAAGTGGGCTATTAACATAAAATGTCCAGTACAATTATTTGCTTAATATTACAATTGTTTACGCGTTGTACGCGTATGCGTGAATGTTGTTGTTCGTTGGCGTTCCACTCCCTCCTGTTTTTGTTGTTGTGACCGTCCTCTGTAATTAAAAATAATCTAACCTGTTGTTGATGCTCATTGTAATTACCGTTTCGTCGTCATTATCGTCGGTGGTCTTTTTTCTTATACCACAATCTTTTTTTTTCTCGTTTGTATATATTGTGTTTCTTATTAGAAATTAATTCTAATTGAAAAACTAGTATTAAACAATTATTAATTTAATATTCTGTTATTATTAAAATAACGTCGTGGATATGTTATTCACAAGATCGTTTTTAATGTATATAGATCTGTAAATAATAAAATCGTTCATCTCAACAACCTCGTGTTTATTGATATTCTGTCCGAGTCAATAACACTGATTTCCCTGGATTACTTCCTGTAAACTGTCTGTTTGCTGTAATTGGCTGTCTTTGGAGTTTGCTGAGTGCGTAAGTCCTCCATCATTATCACGAGGCCGCCGAGGTCGTCCAGAGCCCAGCTGCCACGCTACACCCTTGGTTGTCCGTAAACTGTGGCCTTTGATTTCGATTGGCTAAATGCGGAGTTGACTGTTTGTATAACCGTCAATCATTATATTGAATTCACCTCCGTCAATAGTATTTAAGTTAGTTTTAAGTTGTGGACTGAACGTTTAGTTTTAAGATTTATCTTTTGGCCATTGCACTAAACGGAACCGGCCATAAGAAGCCCCTTATATAATTTCTATTTCCTGCAATCCGTTGTGAATATAAACTGCTTCCTTTCTTTAAAACCCGCGTCGGTCCCGTGTTGTTATTATCCAACTTTCCCATCTGCCATCTGAACAGCGAACAGTTATAGTGTGCGTTAGGTTGCCTACCCAAAATTGATAAGGCGTAACGACGCCATTTCGGCTTCAGTCTTTTTCTCGTGTCGAAAAATTTCGACTGGTCCTTTGTTCGTTTTATTTTGTTGCTTTATCATACAACAATTGTATAATTAAATAAAAACCAAGGAAATTATACGAAATAGGTGGCCTATGACTAAAAATCGGTTATTACTATACTAAAACCTAACATTTGTGAAAACATTGTTCGTCTACAAGTATCTTATTTGTCTTTATTATTTATTTTGAAATACAATTTGTCTAGATAGGATTAGAACTTTATTTCTTATCGACGCCAAGTGGGGGTTTGA